TAGGGATGGGGTGAAGACGTTTTAGCCGATGGTGTGTTGTGTCCGTCTTCGATAGCTTCTACGCCTTACTCAAAAAACTGAAAAATAAATGAAAATTCATATTTAACACGACTGGAGTCCCTTCATTCCGTTTCGCTCGGCGAAAAGTCTCGCCTGACTTATCAAACAACCCTTTAACCACTGTTGTGACACGTGAGAGTAGATCGTTCCTTCTTTCGAAAACTTATCACACGAAGAGCACATACGTATTTTATATATATTTTAATCGACAGATAAACAACTAAGAATCTACGAAACATCTCTTTGAAACTTCACGGTTAATCGAACGATGATCCTTTAATTTCCTAAGCAAACGAAATTCCGGTTGACTTGAAGCGATTAAATCTCTGATAATGTTCGATCAAACGAAAGAAAAAAAAAAAGAAGAAGAGAAGACTTCTCTCCACTTTGTACCCTTGACGTTACAGCGCGTTAAAAGGAGAGCCAAATTTTCCAATACCGCCAGCTCGCTCGATCCATCAAACGCTCCATTTCCGTTCACCATCGTTCGTATCGTTCGGGGGAGTGGAGGTGGAGAAGGTGTCATCGAACTTTTCGCGATTCGTTGCCCGACTCTCGAATTCAGCGAGCGTACGCCCGAAAAGAAAACACGGGATTAATTGGTATTTGTCGAAACGCGAACGCTGCCACAAAGGTGAAAGGGGTGGATTCCCACGCGCACGCGGGAAATTGATTCGTATTTGCTGCCGGGACGCCAACAGGACGTGCTCGTTAACCGAGTGGGGCGATTTCGAGCCCGGTCGCCATGGTGTTTACCGGCCGCAGCGCAAACGTCGTTCCCACAGCGGTATTTATGGCTGTATCGCGGAGCCGAATTTTCCGCGTTTTCCCAGCCGCGATTAAGTCGTTTTATTTTCGGACGCAAGTCGCGGCGTCGGTCAAGGACGTCGATACTGGACGTCGGGTTTAAATTGGAAATTGAACGTCCGGCCAGCAACGAAAGCGGGCTGTCCGTGCAGACAGTCGGTCCATCGTGGTTGTTTATTTGAGTTTTCGAAACTGAAGTGTCACGCAACTGCGACGAGAGTGAGGTAATTCGAGGAATTGGAATTAAATATTTTAGGAGAAGCGATGAAAGAAATTTTTTTCTTTTTTTTTTGTAGAGTCTCCGAAAGTTTTCATCTTAGTGATCGTCGAAGTAGAATAAAGTAATTTGGTTAATCAAGTGCGATTAGACAAGACAGTCTGCTGCTATTAAAGCTGAATCTCACTTCTGAATACTCAACAAATCAAACTTGCGAATAGTACGACTAGTATAATTAGACGTTTCGTTGATCGAAGAAATCGCGATTCACAGTAGTATATCAAGTATTTGTTCACATTGATGATCAAGAGATCAATAACGAGCGTACGTGGGTCTCCTATACAAGAAAATGATCAACTTTGTGTAATTTCGTTGCTTACATGATACAAGAACTTTATCTTCCAATTTTGGTTCCGAATTCGAACAAGGCTAAATCAGGCTAAATCGCGAATAAGGTTTTAATAGGAATGAGTGAGAGTATCTCCACGGTATTGTAATTCGAAAAGTGCATATTTTCGAGTCGAGGATCGCTTAGTATCAGCGGAAGAACGATCGGCTTTCCTTCTTCAGCGCGAATTCAGGTCGTAAATTAGTGGACCGTTTGTTCGCTAATTCCGTTCAAACTATTCACAACGGTAAAGTCGCTTTCTACAGCCGCGGACTCGCGGATCTAGGTTACCGTGTCGAATAATATTTTTAAGGAGATGGCGGAATCGAAATTTCCCTTGGCGGAGGACGCCATTGACACGATAGATACGTCCTTTTCTTACATCGAGCAACATCGAGATTTTAATTAAGACGCCTCCTCCATCGGCCGATTATTCTTGACAAAGTGGAGCGGAATTTTCGGACGAAGTGGGGGCGGGACCGATCCGGCGAAAGTTCGCAATTACCGAAATCTTCGAACCGACTCGTATCGATCGGAACTCGGGCGAGTTGTATTGTGAAACGTGGAACGAACTCAAACGGATGCAAAGAATAATTATTTCGAGCCATCTTTCGTTGTGTTTGTCCGCCTCGGTTCGCCGCACGGAATCCATTAACGTTCGGCGTGCTTCTCGTTAACGAGATCGCCGACAGAAAGTCGATAGTTAATTACGCAAACGAAGGGATCCCGTTAAATGTCACCGAATCGGCATCGATCATCTTTGTATCCCTCGATTGACTTTCCTTCGCTCCAAGTAATTGCCTACTTCCCTCCGTTCTTATTAACTATAAAGAGCCAACATGGAAATGAAGATCGGAAACGAACTGGCTACAAAACGTATTTGCATGTTC